GCTAACCAAGAAAAAAAAACTACTTTATGCTACGTGGATATCGCAACACTTTGTTCTTAGGCTTACACCTTAACACGATGCCTGTCCCTTTTCTTTTCTTTTCTTTTCTTTTTTTTTTCAATTTATAACAGTGCTGTCAATATCCATTATGACTTGAAATTTTCAAGCCCCCAAGGAAGAGTGTTAATTGTTACTGCTCTGTCAACAGACGGGTGTCAACAAAATGAAATTAGAGCTCTAAGGCTCATCTTCCCTATACCAGTTTTCTCTTTTCATATCACACTCTTCTTCCCTCACCACTGCCCCATCTAGAATATACTATAATTAAAAAATGAAGAGAAAAAAGATTGTTTTAACAAACATATTACCTTGCATTGGTTACCCAAAACCCTGAGTGTTCAGTGTAGGGTAACAAGAAATACAGATAATATCATGAGAGAAATTTGACACAAGTAACTAATAATATTCTGAATTTTCTAACAAAAACGCGATTATTCATTTCATAGTCCAAAATTAGTTAAGTGAAATTATTTTGCAATTTATAGGTCTTTTAAAAATTGAAAGTACTTCATACCTTTGTTTATATCAATAAGTTGCTTCTTTTTCTTCTGGCGTTCCAACTTCTCTTGTTCAGCTTTTTCTTTTGCAAGTTTTGCCCTCCTAGTCTTTTCTTCCATTTCTTGTCTCTTATTGTTCTCTTTCACTGCTTCCTGTACATATAAACAAAGTTAAACAAAAATCCTTCCATTACTTATATTTTGGAGAAGTTGTCTAATTTTAAAATTATATATACACACACTCATGTGGGTTCTCAGAGATGGAAAAGTATTATAGTAGCTTCAAGGTGCATGCATATACTTTGAGAGAAACCAGTAATTCTAAGATATTGAAAAAATTAGAAATAACTCAAGCTTTAATTGACATTACCTAGGGTGCCAGAAAATTATTGACATGAATGTTTACAGAATTAATAAATGCACTTTGTCCACTGTTGAGATATAAAACAGTTTTGATATACAAGGAAAGATTTAATATGGAAATATGGCTTAGCATGTATTTTACCACTTTATTGTACCTTCTTCCCTTACCCACAGAATGGAGACTAAAAAAACAAACAAACAAATAAAAAAAAACCAAAAACAACAAAAAAAACTACTTCATAGGATATTGTGAGGAAAAATAAGATACACTTATTAAGTGATTAGAACACTTAGTCTATGATGATGATGATGGTGGTAGTTATGGCAGTAACAATTACATCTAATGATGTAAAGTAATGGAATAATCAGCCATATTATCACAGGAAAAACATCTGTAAGTTCCTTACATACCAAGATCTTTAGGAATGCTGAAACATATTTCGAGCTATTGTCTGCTTTATTTTAGATAAATTATTTGTGGAACTCAAGTGAATCAGTACATTCCAGTAGATGGTATGGGATAAAGTTGAAGTAAACTGATCAGCTGGAATAATATTAACTTCCTTTGAGTTCAGAGAATTCACTAATAGAAAGACATATCAACTGCAAGTTTCTTCCACCAAGCTGTTTTGTTTCTTTTTTCCTATTATGACTGATTAAATATAGTTCATAGCATGTACCAACTATTTCATGAAAACTATTTTGTTCCAGAAACCCTAAAGAAAAGGACTCAATAACAAGAACACATCTATAAGACTTTGCCTGGAGGTGTCTACATTGAAATATTTTTTTCTTCATATTAGAAGACACAGTAGTTTTAAAAAGCCCTGAAAACACTTTCAGAAAAGCTTTGCCCTCCTTGAATTATTGGTACCTCTCCCTTCTACTGCCCTTGTCAGGCTGGCACAAAATGATCTAGCTCCTATAGATAAACTCAAAGACTATCACTTAATATAAACTGGAATAACAGAAATATAGGTTTAGAGCAAGATTTCTCAACCTTGGCACTATTGTCATTTTGGACTGCATAATTCTTTGTTGTAGAAGCCATCCTGTGCATTGTGACATATGACAACACCCTTGACCTCTGCTCACTTGATGCTAGTAGCACCCCTCCCCAGTTGTGACAACCAAAAATGTCTCCAGAGATTGCCAAATGTAGCCCAAGTTGAAAACTATTAACCCAGGGGGTTTCATAAAGATAATTTACTCACACACACACAAAAATGACAAAGTGCCTCCTCTGCTGAACTCAGCTTCTTTCCACAGATGTGGAAACTGCATTGCCAAATGTGTTTAAGTACTAGCCTAAGGTCACACGTTTATGTAATTTCAAAGTTAGGAATAGAATTCATATATCTACTCCTGATTTAGTTTTTGTTTTATTCTTCAAGAAAAACAAAGAGAATGTGATATGACAGCAAACTATAAGCAACCAAAGAAAAAATAGATGAGACTTCATCAAAACTAAAAATTTTATCCATCAAAGGACACTGTCAAGAAAATGAAGAGATAACCCACAGAATGGGAGAAAATATTTGCAAATAATTTATATGAAAAGAATATATAAAAACTCTTACACCCCAACAATAACCCAATTTAAAATGGGCAAAGGGTTTGAATAGATGATATTTCTTCAAAGAGGATATACATATAGCCAATAAGTACACAAAAAGATGTTTGACATTATTAATCACTAGGGAACAGCAAAGCAAAACCACAGTGAGGTACCACTTCACACCCACCAGGATGGCGGCAACAACAACAACAACAAACAATAATAATAATAACAAATAATAACAAACGAGGATGTAGACAAAGTGGAACTCTGCATTACTGGTATGAATGTAAAATGGTTGAGTCATTTTGGTAAACAGTTGTTTAAAATGTTAAACAAAGAGTTATAATATGATCCACAATTTCACTCTTATACCCAAGAGAAAACACATGTTCAAACAAAAACTTATACAAGAATGTTCATAGCAACATTTTTTCTAATAGCCAATAAGTAGAAAAAACCCATGTCTCCATCAACTGATAAATGGCTAAACAAAACGTGGTATTTATACATATAATGGAATATTATGCAACCATAAAAAGAATAAAGTACTGATATATGCTACAACATGGATGGACCTTAAAATATTATGCTATGTGAAAGAAGTCAGACACAAAAGGCCACATGGTATGATTCCACTTGCATGTAATGTTCAGATTTGGCAAACTCATAGAGACAGAAAATTGATTAGTGGTTATCAGGGGCTGGGGGCTGGGGAGTGGAGAGTGACTGCTAATAAGTATGGAGTTATTTGGGGCTGATGAAAACATTCTGGAATTAGATAATAATGATGGCTGCACAACCCTGTGAATAAAAACTACTGAATTGTATACTTCAAAATGGTATATTTTATATGTAAATTTTATCTCGATAAAAATTAATAAAATGAAAAAAAATAGATGTTTGAGAAAAGCAGGACTGAAATAAAATTGTGACTTAAAAAAAAGAGAATGTGAAAAGGCAACATATATGCAGGCTCTGATACTAATAAGTTGTATGATCTTTGATAAGTAACATAAGAGGCAAATAATAAAGAAGAGACGAGAGGTTAATGCTGTGTATATTTTATTATTGATTGAAAAATCTCTGATTTGGTAAATAGCCCACCCTGGGTGAGCTCTTTTATTATCAATCTAATGGGCTGTTTAGCTGCTGAGTGCTGTCATTTATTATGAAGATGGAAAAAAAAAAAAACTGGTAACTTGCATTTATATTTCTTCCTTGTTCTTATAACAGCTACTCTTTCACAAAAATATATTATATGCCAGGTGTTTTAAGTAAATGATTTCTAATCTTTATAGAAAGTCTACAAAATATTTATTATTTGTTTTCATTTTACAGATGATGAAACTTAGGTTTAGGTAGGTTAAGTGAGATGCCTGAGGCTACTCAACTACTTAAGTACCAGAACCATGTATGTTCATTTACACTACCATAATGTCTTTCAGGTAGAGTTGCCAGATAAAATACAGGACACTCAGTTAAATTTGAATTTTAGATAAACTATGAATTATTTTTTAGTATTAGTATGACCCATACAATAC